TATACTCCAGCCTGGTGGCCACAGGAAAATCTATGTGAACCAAGTTGATCCAAAGGCCCAAGCAATGGACATTTTTGTGTGAATTACTAGGAAATAGAGAAGCTCTCTTTCCATTGAAATTGCAAGGTAGAAGAACAACATGTGCTGGGAACTTCTGAGTGTCTTATGGGGAAGAAGGTGGTTACAGCAGTTAGCATATCTTCATAAACATGCACAAATATATACAGAGAGTAATGTAGTTCAATCTATCTCTCTGCCCAGTGGTTTGAGAAGAGTGGATTTTCTTGTCTGTATTTCCATTTTATTTATTTTTTAATTTGAAAGAGAGAGAGAGAGAAAACACAAGCAGGGGAGAGGGGCAAAGGGAGAGCTAGAGGAGAATCCCAAGAAGGCTCCATGCTCAGCGCACAGCCCGACATGGGGCTCGATCCCGTAACTATGGAATCATGACCTAAGCCAAAATCAAGAGTCAGATGTTCAACTAACTGAGCCACCCAAGACACCCCTATGTTTCCACTTTAGAAAGTAGTTAAGGATATACCTTTTTTGGAAGAGGTCTAAATATTAAGTTTAAAAAACTTAAAACTAGTAATTATGACAAAATATATTTAATTTCACTCTTTTCATTACCACAAAATTTTTAAAATACTAATATACAGACAAGAGCAAGTGAACTGGAAAAGAGGTAAAAATTGTATAAAAGACGAAGCTAAGCATAGGAATGTAGGAGCAGTGACACATATACACACTCAAATGAATTCAGAAAGCATATTCCATCCATGTTAAAGTCTAAAGTCACCTTTTACTGGAGCCACATCTGGAAAGCTCCTTAAACCAAAGTTCTTACATGGGAAGCATCTTCCCAGACTTCTCTTAAAAAGCATTTCTCATAAAACAGCCCACACCAGAGACACAGTCCTAATCTAAATACAAGTCATAAATGCCTCCCCTAGGCCCCATAGAACTTGGAAAAATTAATGAAAACTATGCACTATAGAAATGGAAAAGTGACACCTAGTGGCCACATGGCAGTTTTCCATTATGGCTTCCCTGCCTTGCCGGTAACTGCTTGGCAAATCTGAATTTCCAATTCCTGAGCCAAACAATGACCTACCTGAGTGGTAGATATCTCTTTAGAGCAGGATCTGAAACGACACTACTAAACATGGTCCAATAACTAGGTAGTGGTTATTTCATTTACTGTGCCCAGACTCTACAGAAATTCCTCAAAAAATATGACTAATAAATATAGACTTTCCCATTAAGAAACTGTAATGAAATACCTTAATCCCACTTACTTACCAAAAGCCTCTATGCTCTATTTTTCTTTCAATTTTTCAACAGATTTCCAAATTTAGTGGCTACAATAGAGTGTCAACATACACCCCAAGTTTGATTTCAGGCTATCATCATCTAATAAAATATCTGATAGCATCTTCAGGTTCACTAGTTTCAAAAAAGTTTTAAATTTGACACATAGAGGTTCAGTTATTTGACTGTACTAAATCAAGGATCAATAAACAGTTGTTCCTTAAGCCATAGCAGTTAGAGGTAAATATTATAGTTATGGTATAACCTTTGGTCTACTTCAATAATATCCATCTAATAAAATGTTTTAGAGCAGCACTGTCCAATAGAAATATAATGTATGCCATACGTGTAATTTAAAATTTTCTAGTAGCTACATTAAAAAAGTAAAAAGTAAAATGTTGCTGTTTTATATAATTCAGTATATCCAAAATACTTGTCTAAGTGATCAGTATAAAACTGGTTTTTAAAATGTATTTTTTATATTTTTTTTTTGGGGGGGGAGCCCATGCAGGGGAGGGGTAGAGAGGGGAAAAAGAGGATCCCAAGCAGGCTCCATGCTGTCAGCGTAGAGCCCTACATGGGGCTCGAACTCACGAACTATAAGGTGATGACCTGAGCAAAAATTAAGAGTCAGATGCTTAACTGACTGAGTCACCCAGGTGCCCCTTTATATATTATTTTTAAATTTGATTTTTAGGAAGCTCTACGCCCAACATGGGGCTTGAACCCAACCCCAAGATCAAGAGTCACATGCTCCACTGGCTGAGCCAGCCAGGCATTCCATTATAAAATTGTTAACGTGATATTTTGCATTCCCTTTTTTATACTAAGTGTATGAAATCTGGTGCTATCTCAATTTGCATTAGTGACATTTCCAGTGCTCAACAGCCATACATGGCCTGTGTCTATCATACTGGACTGCACAGTTCTAGAGTCTGACCCTAATACTCAAGTCCTGTAGATTAGAATCACAGAATCAGAACTGGAAGTAAACCTAGAGGTCAAGCCTCTTGTACAGACAAGGAGCCTGAGGTACAGAGTATTTAAATGGCTTATGTGAGGTCACACAGCTTAATTTAGGCTGAGTAGGCTCTTCAGCTTCTAGGCTCTTGTCCCACTCCACTCCATTATTGTAGGTAATTCTTAGACTTAGAAAAAAAATTACTCTTTTTATGATTTCATTCAATGTACAGATGTTTGAAATTGCAGGAAATGCAGGAAATTAATGAATAGGAGAAAAATTAGTTATAGGGCAAACCATAAAAATATCACTCCTAGGGGCGCCTGGGTGGCTCAGTCGGTTGAGCGTCCGACTTCGGCTCAGGTCATGATCTCACGGTTTGTGAGTTCGAGCCCCGCGTCGGGCTCTGTGCTGGCAGCTCGGAGCCTGGAGCCTGCTTCAGATTCTGTGTCTCCCTCTCTCTCTGCCCCTTCCCTGCTCATACTCCGTCTCTCTCTGTCTCTCAAAAATGAATAAACATTTAAAAAAAAAAAAAAAAAAAATATCACTCCTAACAACAATTCAACATAAATGCAACACACTTTGGAGAAAACACTAATCTCGGGAGAGCTACAGCTATCATACGCTGCATGGACTGGATTCTGGATCCAGGACAAGATCTACAGAAAAATACTAGAGTGGATTATTAAAGGATCAAAGCATTCAATTGGCTATCTGTCCAGTGTTCTATGGAATAACCCTTCCTCTTGCAAAGAGGAAAAACTGTTACTATGCCAGGCAGCAATGGCCTGCTTCTAGAAATTCTGCCTCCCAGATCCTTGCATCATAAAGCCCCTCCACTTTCAAGGACATCCAGCACAGTGACCCATCTTGCTACCACTGGCTGAGTTCAACTCTAGAGGCCACGCCCAACCTGCAATGGTTTAGCCCCACAAAAATGTTATGTTGGTAAGGCCTCTGACTTATTCCTGCTTCTTCAGATGGAACCGTCATGCTTAGGCTGTTGCAAACCAAGGTCCTTCATCTCATAGGGTTTCTTTGGCTTATTCTAAACCTGAGTGTGTCTCAAGTTCCGGAACCAGGAGTGGGGCTGATCTTCTAATATTTCTGGAACACTGTAAGTGCTGCAGGACACGGTGATACACCGTTGCCCACATGGCCACTGCAGCTGTCCCGCTTTAAGGGAACATGTGCTTTTGGCCTATTGCCTGTTGGTATGTTTGGCATTAACATGTCTGACAAAAGTTCTAACTTATTACCTACAGCCTAAAGAAATATGCAGAGTCAAAATAATGCTTTGTTTTGGTGAGAGGCTCTGAGGGAGATCTGTTGGAAGGTAGAGCACCACCTAGAGGAAGAAAACGGCATTGGATCCCCTACTGAGCCTCAGGCTTCTCCATTAGTTTCCTAGCCTATCTTACTTTCCATTGGTGGGGCACCAAAAAAAAAAAAATATACATGGAAACACACTGGGTAAACTAGAAAGAGCAATTAAAACATAATGTATAATGAAATTATGATCTTCAAAAAGGTAGATATACATGTATTATCTTAAATATTCTTCTTGTACTCAGTTTAAGCCACCTCCCAGTTACTAGTTAAAAAATGATCTCCAAATTTGTAATTATAGCTAGAAAATTGGTTTTTACATTCTTTCTCATTGCCTCATAGTTTCAAAATTATACTTAGCCTTTACATAACTACCTTTGGCTACAGGCAACAGTAACCATAATTGCCTAATCTAGAAGGCCACAGCTATTTCCTTGGTCAGTCAATTCATCATTTAACCAGCGAAACCAGTGCTTCCCCAAATGTGTATAAAGAAACTGGTTTATACACATTAAACATTTCAAAAATACGAATTTAATTGTGACTTTACACAAGACATTTATCCTGCCTGGGCTTGTTTTTTTCCTCCATGGCTAATCCTTCACTAAGCACCTTTACTGCATCAAAAATTGGTTTTAGATATAATGAAAATCTTGATTGGTTATGTTAACAGTAATTCTTACATGCAAAGGTTAATTACCAAGAACTAGGACTAAGGTCTTCTGTAAGCAAAGTTGAAACTCTCCCAGCTTTTCTTTTCTTTTTTTTCTCCTGAGTTTTAAATAAATCATCTCACTTAAAGTCTATCTCAAGTGCTTCACTAAGCATAAATACCCTGTATCCAAGTCTACAACGACTGAATACTGTATTCATTACAATTATGAGCACCGATTATATCATTTCTTACATGTTCAAGTACTCGGTTTTCTTAAAATATTTAAGCCCTATTCTCAACTAAGGAAATACACAGGAAATGGTGATGTTCCAATTTACATAAATCTGCTATTATAAATCAATTATAAATGAATCTTAGACACAATATATTAAATTCCCCAAACTTAAAAATTGCATCAGAAAATAAAAACAAAACCAAAACAAGGTGTATGTGATATTCTTGGTTAGAAATATTTTAGCAAAAATACAGCAACTAGTGGGTTTTAAGCCATTTCACTGAGCCAAGGGGTCTGTAGGAAACGCTGAGCCATTCTTTGTGAAGGGAAACCTCACATTTCCCCCATACTGCTGTGAAAGGTGCAAATCTATAAAAATTGGTAGACCATTAATAGGAATAAAAGATAAGAACAGTATCAATACAGAGCAGAAGATTGTACAGTTTTTTTTTTTTTGTAAATGAAATGCTTTATCACATTCCTAATTTTTAGAGTTAGAAAATCAAATGCTAGAGTGTCCAGTGGATATCACTGATGTCCCCAGGGTCTCCCAGGCCCCCTTCTGCTTCAAAGTAATTCATGAAGGCAGCCATGGCTGTGTCGTCATTGTCACACAGGGCATCAAAATCCAGCTGGGCACCTTGGCCTATCAAATTAAAATACAGACTCATGTGAGTACATTTGGAGGTTAAAAGATGAGTATCGTTAAAAATGGCAAAGCAAGCAAAAAAAGAGATATAAATCAAGAAACAGAGTCTTAATTATAGAGAACAAATTAATGGTTACCTGAGGGGAAGTAGGCAAGGGGACTGGTGAGATAGGTGATGGGGATTAAGGAGGGCACTTGCCATCATGAGCACAGGGTGATATATGGAAGTGCTGAATCACTATATTGTACACCTGAAACTAATGTAACACTGTATGTTAACTAACTTGAATTAAAAACTTGAAGAAAACTAAAAAGAAAGGCAAGAACACTATACAATGTAATTTTGAATGCAAAACCTCTGTCTTAAATTGCAGAAGGCTGATATATTTTTAAATGGGTCACCTCTTTTTATAACAAGGTGCTGTCACAGAAATTGCACATAACTCACTTGATACACAAAAGTGAGCTAGTCTATGAATTTTCTAATAGAAAATGACAGTGGTAAAAGACAGTTGGAAGCTAGGGGCCAGAATTCATGCATGTGTATGTATAGAGCCTGGAAGGATAGATTTAACTTTAATCTGATGCCTTGTGAAAATGCCAAGGAAAAAATGCCTTGTATTTGTTTAATCTGAATGAGAAGATGGATACAAAAGCATACTCTTCCAAAAATCTGAAAATGTTATAAAAGGGAAAATGCCCAGATTTTTATTGAAAAAGGAAATAAGAAACCATAGAAATGAATTATAAGTTAGATACAAGGAAAAGGTTCTAGAGATTATAGGTTAACACACAGCTACAGATTAGCCAAAGTTTTCTAGAAATTTTTCAAAGTACAATGCAATTTGAGATGATGAATATGTGGCTCTGCATGAAGCTGATCTTCGTTTTCTTTCAACCTCTTTGATTCTCTTTAACATACGTTTCTAGTAGATCAATGTTAGTTATGTATGGTATAAAACTGTATACTTGATTTGAGTCTGCATAAACATAGTTAAAATGAATAATTACATCTTAAACACTTTGTGATTGGTATCATTCAAAAGTTCTTATTCTTGGGAATGGACATTTTTTCCCTAGATATAAGTACCTTAGTTTTATCTAAATGGCATGTATTAACGATACCCATAACTGATTCAGTTAATAACTGAACTTACAATGACAGGTGCATTAGGTAGCATACACCTTAAAGTCGAGTGATTTATTGCATTTAGGATTTTGAAAAAAATCTTAGTTTTAACTATTTGCTTCTCTAGAAGTCTCCTAAGTCTGAAAATATAATGATTAAGAAAGTGTTAGGTAAACTAAGATGGTGGGTAGTTGACAAAGAAAACCTACCAAGGAGTGGCTCGTGACTATGGGAAGGAACAGCACTGTGGTTTTGCCTTGGAGCCTCTGGCTCCCCAATTTCAGAAGGATTTCGTGGAATCGGCTCCTTATTTGACATCTGAAAAGACAGGATAATAAATAGTAAGGCTCCTACTTGAGTGAAATAACAACCTCTTAGCAATGGTCAGATGTGGGCCTGATGGCAGTGCCACCACTGCCATCATCAGTATGACAGCCTGCATCTGCCCAGTACTATGTGCCAGGACCCCACAAGCAGCCTCTCCTTTCGTGTCTCAAACGTTGTGAGGTCAGAAATCTGAGGGCTAAAGCTTGCCCAGAGTGTTGGGGCCATTATTCTAACCCATCCACCTGACGCCAGGGTCCACATTCTTTATAACAATAACTGAATGTACATGCTATAAGGACAAGTTTTGGATTAAGGAGGAAAAGCTATTTTTTTTTTTTTTTAAGAAAATGATCATAAAACTATCACACATGAAACTACAATGGGAAATAGTGCTTTGGAGTGGGAAATGGATTAAACTAGAGGCTTTTACCAACAAGTTTTCATATTGTTGCAGAGTTACAAGCCAAACAATTGAATGTATTTAAATTTTTTTTTAATGTTTGTTTATTTTTGAGAGAGAGAGAGAGAGAGAGAGAGAGAGAGAGAGCAAGCAGGGGAGGGGCAGAGAGAGAGGGAGGCACAGAATCTGAAGCAGGCTCCAGGCTCTGAGCTATCAGCAAAGAGCCCAACACAGGGTTCGAACTCAGGAACCATGAGATCACGACCTGACCTGAGCCAAAGTCAGAGGCTTAAACTGACTAAGCCACCCAGGCGCCCCACAATTCAATATTTAATGTAGCTTATCAATATACATCATTTACCAATATAATACTACTGACACTTTATTAGCCTGGCAATTGCCCTCCGATCACATCTCCTTTTCTCTTCTGCTGAAGTCACCACAGTCTTGAGTTTTATGTTGATTTTCTTGTTACTTTTATAATTTTAGCACCCATATGAATACCCTTAAGCAATGTATGGTTTCTTAAACCTTAGTTTGAACACTCAATAAATGCAGTAATGCTCGGTGAAAAAAAATACTTCATTTACCTACACTTTCTTATTAAGTTGGTGAATCTGATCTATGAAATGTCTATATAATGCACACTACTTGGAGATTATGTTGGAATGCCGTAACTCCCTGCTTCTAGCTTATTGTCTGGCAAAAAAGGGGTACTTAATAAACATTTGCTAAATGTAGGAGTAAAACTTAAATACTAGACGGAAAGACTTAGGACATGTGTATAAAAACATTTTTTCAATTTCCGGTCAGATTTCTCTTATATTTTTATACCACTTAGTTTATAGTCCCACTTTAGATCTTTTTGTTGTCTGGGATACATTAGAATTATATTGTAGATAGCTCCTCCAGATATTTAGGACTACATTTAATCAATTTTGTAAACGTAACCATGCATTTCAAATAGCTAGTATATGTTAAATTGAATTAAATAGTAGCTTATAGTAATTTTTCCCCACACCATAAGGAGTACATTTAATCCACTGAATTAGAACCCATTAAAATAACATTAATAGCTACCATTTATTGGTCACAGGTTGTGTACCAGTCACTGTTAAGTTTTTGTTTGTTTTTGCATAAAATCACTTCATTTGCACACCACTCCAAGAGTTCGGTGCTATTATTATCCCTACTTAACAGATGAGGAAATTGAGGCACAGAGTTTAAATAGCAAGCCTGTGGTTGCCCAGCAATAAATGTCTGAGTCACAACTCGGATCCAGATAGTATGCTGTCAGCCACTATTCTATGTTGCCTCTTAAAATCCATGGAAAGAGTTTATTTTTACAGGACGGCATCTTTTCTCAAAAGAAATAATATTTCATGAATATTAACACTTACCGTACTTACTTTCCTGCAGTTTATAGTGTGAGAATCTTTCATTAAATCTGCTGGCCTTGAGTCCTCAAGGGAGGAAGAAGCCTGTAACCTTTAAAAAGTGACACATAAAAATTTTCTCTATGTATAAGGTAATTTTCTCCTCCAAATGCATAATCTACTGATAAAAATACAGTGAAACACAGGAGACTGAATGTCATGACAGTTTTCACAATTAGACTAATTTGTTCAGTGCCATACTTACTTTTTACTATGGGCCACTGAAAAGTAGCCTGTGGTAAATAGAAACCTAAAACTCTGAGGGTAAGAGCTCTTAGGTAAGTCATGTTGCCTGTCTTAATACAGCATGTGGCAAAGTTTGAATAGTAATACAGTTCAAAATAGGCATTCACATAAAGAATCTGTTCCTTATCAGTTCCTTATAGACAACAGAGCTGAGAGTAAAGAAAGATTTCCTAACATCCCACAACCTTTATTTTAAGTGAAAAATGGTCACATTTTTACTACAATAAGTCATCCCCAGGTACAAAATCAATAAAACATAAAACAACACAAACAAAATCATATGCTTTAGTCATAAATCTCTTCAAGACAATATGACAATATTAGTCTCTTCAAAACTTGGATAGTATCGTATAAAGTTAAGTGCTCGATTATGTGAAATTCATAATGGCATTAGCATAACTTTGTCTTTATTCTCAAAAAACTAGTTGACAAGAAATTATAGAGGAAGAAATTAAAACACAGGAATGAAATGAATTAGGTATCAAACACAGTGGAAAAAATCACTGACCTGTCTTGGGGATTTTTCATAGGACAGCCCATGTAAATAGCTTTGCTGGTTTCTCATTCTATAGTTCATTATTTAAAACCACTACCTGTTCAATTAGCCTTAGGTTAAAGATGCACCCCCGTCCCTGGACTTCATTTCCACATTAATCTAAAATACAGCTTCATATTAGTCACCTGGGCAGAAACCTGCTATTTAAGTCCCTTCACCACGTGACCTCTCCTTGGTTAAAACTCCGCACTGCTCAGCAACCCAACTTCTCTCACAAACTCCTTGTTATGCTGAAACCATCATGCTTTCTCCTACCTATCTCTATACTTTGGCTGCGGTGCCCCCATGGGTAAACACCCTCCCCACTGCTTCCTAGACATTCTAATGGTATTCAGTTGTCAATGTGTGGCTCAAGTTCCACTTCTCTTAAAGTGCCCTTCCAGCATCTATGGTCAAATGATTTTCAGCAGGGCTCTAAAGACCATTCAATGGAGGAAAGGATAATCTTCAACTGATGACATGGGAAAACTGGATATCTACATGAAGAAGAAAGTTGGACCCTACCCTATACCGTACCCAAAATTAACTCAAAATGGACCAACACCTAAACATAAGACCTAAAATTATAAAACTCTTAGCAGAAAACAGGGGAAAAGCCTTATGACATTGAATTTGGTGATCATTTTTTAGATGGTGTCAAAACACCAAAACAAAACTGGGTCACATCAAAATTTAAAAATTTTGTATATCAAAGGAAACTATGAACAGAATGAAAAGGCAACCCACGGAGAGGGGAAAAAATATTTACCAACCCTATATCTGATAAGGGGTTAATATCCAGGATACGTAAAGAACTACAACTCAACAACCAACAGCCCGGTGAAAAACTGGGCAAAGGACCTGAATAAATAATTCTCCAAAGAAGGACTACAAGTGGCCAATAAGCACATGAAAAGATGTTCAAAATCACTAATCATTAGGGAAATACAAATCAAAACCACAACGAGCTACCACCTCGCACCCATCAAGAGAACTATCAATGTACAGAAAATAACAAGTGTTGGCAAGGATGTGGAGAAACTAGAAAACTTGTGTACTGCCGGTAAGAACGTACAATGGTACAACTGCTATGGAAAACAGAATGGTGGTTCCTCAAAAAATTTAAAATACAATCACCATATGACTCAGCAGTTCTACTTCTGGGTGCATATGCAAAAGAATTGAAAGCAGGGACTAGAACAGATACTTGTATACCCACATTCATAATAGCCACAAGGTGGAAGCAACACAGGGATCCACAGATTAATGCATAAAGAAAATGTGGCATACATATACAGTGAAATATTATTCAGCCTTACAAAGAAGTTCTGACACATGCTGCAACCTGCTTAAACCTTGAAGGCATTATGCTAAGTGAAAGAAATCATTCACAAAAGGACAAATAATTATATGATTCATTCAGAAGAGCTACTTAGAGCAGTCAAATTCATGGAGACAGAAAGTAGAATGGTGGTTGCCAGGGGCTCAGGGAAGAGGGAAATGGGAAGTTGTTGTTTAATGGGAGTTTCAGTTTTGCAAGGTAAAAGGTTCTAGAGATGGCTAGTGGTGGTGATTACATGACAATGCAAATGTACTTAATGCTACTCAACTATAAACTTAGGAATGTTAGCCTTTTTATGTTTTGCCACAATTAAAAAAGAAAATGCTTTTTGCTGATACAATTGTTTTCTGTACTTAAGCCATTTAGTTGTAAAATCTTATATCTAGAAGGAAACCTGGATCCTATAGTGAAACTCCGTAGAGGATTAATGCCAAGAATGTACAAATTACACACTCAAGCATTTAATAATATACTATATAGTACTTTCAGTTTTACATATTAAGTGTTAAGAGATTCATGATCAAAGTGTATGATGGGTCATATGCATATTCTTGTGCATATGTTTCATAATACTTTCAATTCTTAAAGGTATATAGCACATTGCAAGTATTCAATATTCAATAAAATTGGGCAGACAGTAGTCACATGACAAATGTCTGAGTTTTTTTCAATGTAAACTTTTTAATATGAAAATTTAAACTGTATAAACAGGTAGAAAATAAAAAGCAAAAATTTCTTCTCCCTTGTATGTCTCCTACCCCCGCCCCCCCAATGCCTAGTTGCAAATAGGAGAAGTAACTAGTCTGAACAAATTTCCGTATTGTTCTATATTGTGAGGTTTTAGGACCCTTCTCTACAATTCCAAAATCAAAAAGGCTTTGAACACTGAAAGATTTCCCATAATTTATTTGGCAGCAAAATTAGAACTGATCTAAACTTGGCCAAGTCTGACCTGATATGAAGCTAATATTTTATCCTACTCTGCCCTCCTAATATTTGTAACAATTCACTCCAGAAATAGATCTTTGAACTTTCATTATGGAAAACTTCCAAAAGATATAAAAGTAGATAATACAATGAAAGATCAATAATTCTTTTCCAAATCTTATTTAATGTATACACCCCAACCTCCTCTCCTCTCCTCCCAGACGTTTTACCATTTAATCTGTAAATACTTCTCAAAGCATAAATACTAATGTAATTGATTATGGGGTGCTGCCCATGATGTAACTAATTGTTCTAAACAAATTAAATTTCAAAACACTATATTTAAATGTTTGGTAGAATTCATCTGGGAACCCATCTGGTCCTGGGCTTTTGTTTGTTGGGATTTTGTTGATCACTGATTCCATTTTATTACTGGTAATGGCTCTGTTCAGATTTTCTGTTTCTTCCTGATTCAGTTTGTAAGACTGTATATTTCTAGGCATTTATCTATTCCAGATTATTCAATTTGTTGGCAATTTTTCATGGTAGTTTCTTATATTCCTTTGTAGTGTAGGTTGCAACTTCTCTTTCATTTCTGATTTTGAGTCCTCTCTTTTTTCTTGATGAGTCTGGCTAAAGGTTTATCAATTTTGTTTATCTTTCTAAAGAACCAACTTTTAGCTTTGCTGATCTTTTTTTGTTTTTTGTTTTTTGTTTTTTTTTTAGTCTCTATTTCATTTATTTCCACTCTAGTCTTTATTATTTCCTTCCTTCTACCAACTTTGGATTTTGCCTTCTTTTTCTAGTTCCTTTACAGATAAAGTCACATTGTTTGAGATTTTTCTTGGTTCTTGAGGTAGGCCTTATCACTATAAACTTCCTTCTTAAAACTGCTTTTGTTGTATCCCAAAGATTTTGAACTATTGTGTTTCCATTTTCTATTGTTTCTAGTTATTTTTTAATTTCCTCTTTCATTTCTTCGTTGATCCACTTGTTGTTGAGCACGTTGTTTAGCCTCTATGAGTTTGTGTTTTCTCCAGGGTTTTGTTATTGTAATTGATTTCTACTTTCATATTGTAGTAGTTAGAAATGATGCTTGATATAATTTTAGTTTCTTTAAATTTATTGAGAATTCTTTTGTGCACCGGCATGTAATCTATACTTGAGAAGGCTCCATGTGCATCTAATGTGTATTCTGGGGTACCTAGCTGGCTCAGTAGGTTAAACCTCCAACTTTGGCTCAGGTAATGATTTCATGGTTTGTGAGTTTGAGCCCAGTGTTGGGCTCTGTGCTGACAGCTCAGAGCCTGGAGCCTGCTTCAGATTCTGTGTCTCCCTCTCTCTCTCTCTTCCCCTCCCTTCTGTCTGCTCACATGTCTGTCTGTCTGTGTCTCTCTCCCAAAAATAAATAAACATTAAAAAATAAATAAAGAAGGGGTGCCTGGGTGGCTCAGTCAGTTGAGCGTCGGACTTTGGCTCAGGTCATGATCTCACAGCTAGTGAGTTCAAGGCCTGCATCAGGCACTGTGCTGATAGCTCAGAGCCTGGAGGCTGCTTTAGTTTCTGTATCTCCCTTTCTCTTTGCCCCTAACCCACTTGCAGTCTGTCTTTTTCTGTCTCAAAAATAAATAAACATTAAAAAACTTTTTTTAAATAAATAAAAGAGGGGCGCCTGGGTGGCGCAGTCGGTTAAGCGTCCAACTTCAGCCAGGTCACGATCTCGCGGTCCGGGAGTTCGAGCCCCGCGTCAGGCTCTGGGCTGATGGCTCAGAGCCTGGAGCCTGTTTCCGATTCTGTGTCTCCCTCTCTCTCTGCCCCTCCCCCGTTCATGCTCTGTCTCTCTCTGTCGCAAAAATAAATAAATGTTGAAAAAAAAAAAAATTTTTTTTAAATAAATAAATAAAAGAAATGTGTATTCTGCTGTTTGGGGATGAGACATTCTGTATATATATTTTTTATGTCCATCTGGTCTAATGTGTCATTTAGAGTCACTGTTTTCTCA